GAGTGGCAGGATCTCAGCTTACTGCAACCTCTGCCTCCCAGGTTCCAGTGATTCTCCTGCTTCAGCCTCCTGAGTAGCTGGGACTACAGACACCCACCACCATGTCCAGCTAATTTTTTGCATTTTCAGTAGAGACACAGTTCCACCATGTTAGCCAGGATGTCTCGATCTTCTGACCTTATGATCCGCCTGCCTCAGCTTCCCAAAGTGCTGGGATTATAGGCGTGAGGTACCACGACCAGCTGGATTCTTTCTGTTTTTTTTTTTAACAGAAGATTCCTGTTTTTAGTTATGTTTGTAACTCCTACAATTTCTGGTATATTACCTTGTACACAGTAGGTGTCTTACCCATTTTTGTTAAATTTTGTTCATCTACAATATATTTTACTCATTCTAAGCTATAAAATAGGCTCCAAAGCTGTAAACATAGTCAGAGCACAATGTATGGTTCCTTTTGACAGTCATAGGGACATCATGAGCACACCAGGCATACCACCATTCACGGTCTCAGTTAGAAATGACATCCACACAGGGTGTTGCTGTCCCCAGGATTCTCAATGTGGCTTAACCTTGACAATTATATGCACTTACTATGGCAGTGTGCAGATTTGCTCATATTCTAAGTAAGCCCAGAAAGTTCAGTATTGTGTTAAAGCAACTTGATTAAACAAATAGCAGCTTAGTGGGGTGGACCGGCAGTAAATACCTTTGAGGTTTGATAACATAAATATTTCTGGTGAAAAAAAAATGGACCAAGTAACTAAATATTTGCTTGGGTATAAAAAAACAAAAAGAATTAAAAACTATCATAAATGTGTCCAAACTTCCTGATAATAAATGTAGAGTTGGTTTGCCTGGAGACTGAGTGCAACACTATAAATCAGCCTCAGCTTGTTTTAACACTCATATTTCCCAATACACTAATTCAATCCACAAAACTCCAAAATTAAATTGGAAACAGAACTGAGAAGTGGGTAAGCACCATGGGGCATCTTAAGAGCTGGGTTCTGATTTACGTGTCAGAAAATGTGTAAAGGTTCTTCCTAATTTAAATCACCAAATAATTTATCCACTGTTTATCAAATATAAAAAAGAGCTGACTTTGCTTTTCTCAACAATAAAATTTATAAGTATGAAAAGACACTAACACCTGAGTGTAATGTTAAGAGAATGCATCATGAAAAGGGGTGATAGTCAGCAATTAATTAGAAAGTCACATATATCCATATTTTGAAAAGCAAGGGAAACAACTCCTGAGGAAACACAGCCAAAAATATTTCCTTGGATATGTCACAGTTATCTAATAAAATTTCTGGTACAGAATATTAATGGAGTATTGAATTAGGTCTTTTATGTTATAAAACCTGATCTCTGTCAAACAGTATGAATTGGTTTTGGGATGTGAAAAACTCTATCTTATTTTATTTAGCAATAACCTTTTAACTTGGAATAAGCTTATGAGAAAATCATTGCTTGAAGATATGTAATCAAATATGATAATGCTACTTTAACTGGATTCCTAGGATCTCAGACCAGAGCCAATATCAAGCAAAATATATCAAATAGGTAACAGTGGCCTTTGGCATTCCCTTTCCTCTCCTGGCCCAGCCCCTTGTCTCTGTAGTTAGTCCCTCTCCTTGGTGACTTGAGTGACCTGTGATATTTACTTTCCTCCCTCTCAGAAGGTGTCTTTGAAACAGGGAAGGAGCAGTACACAATTCAGTGTTTTCCAATGACATTCCAAGGAGCTGGATGTTTTCACAGACTTCTCTAAAACAGGAAGTCGGAGTCAAGTAAACTTAGAAAATGCTGCATTGGACAACGTATATATTTGCTTGTTATTGCAGAATTTCTCAGAACTTCTATTAGACTGATGTGCATGGAGCATCTCCTAGAGAAGGATATTTCCTGAATTGGATTAATTACAGCAAGCCCTTTCCAGTAACATCCATTAACATCTCACTCTTCGGGTAACACTGATGCAAGGGAAAGAGTGAACACAGGACAAGTCTGAGTTTAAACCTTGGTTCTGCTACTTAGTTGAGAAACTTCTCTGAGATAAGGTTTTTCATTGCTTGGTTAGTGTTTGCTGGAGTAGGTTTCCATTGCTTTTGCTCCCAGTGTTGCATGCAAGAAAAATATTTGGGAGCACAGAGTGATGACTTCTTAGGGCAATGTCACTTGAAAAAAGTAGTATCTTGACAGAACTTGGTTGGAGTTCGTAGAATTCTCCAAGCTAAAATATTTTTGTTCTATAAAATGTATTCTATTCTTCTCCTCTAAATTCCATGTATCTCCTTTCACTGTCTGCCTTCCAGGAGGCTAGGCAAAATTGATGGAGATGTTAAATCCCCAAACTAAAAGAGAAAAGCATGTGAATGTGAGTCTTCAGTTGACTCTAGAGGAAATATATTACATAATAGAAATATATGGGAAACAATGATAGTGGGCAGTAAATCCCAGATTAATTACATTTATTTAATATGCTGTAGAGCCAATGCAGATAGCCGAACTTTTAAATAAAGCACTATAATGTTACCATTTTTAGTACTAGACAGTAAATTTACAAACACTTGTATTGAAAAACATGATTTTATCCCTTATTACCAAAAGCAAAATTGCTCTATTACAAAACTATTAGATTGCTATCCCCACATATTTTATTTCTGGATTTCTCAAAAAAATTATTTTTTATATATAAAAATATATATCCTACATGTTGAAAAATTTGAAACTGCCTAAATAACAAATGTGTGAACTCACAGTGGTATTCTAAATGATCCAGGAAATGTCATTTTAAATGGTAAAATCAATATGTATTTTGGTTCATTAGAAAAGTACATAATGACTATTTCTAGCATCTCCTCAGACTCTGTTTAACCAGTGTGTACTGTGATGCCTGGCCTGAAGCACTTCTATTTTTAATTCTAATGGAACAGTCTTAAATTGCTTATTTTCTGTTTACTAAAGTCATCCAGTTTGTTACCATGGAAACTATGACAAGTGCTCTAGCTAACTATTTTATTAAATGAATTGGAGACATAGCTGAAGACTGAAGATTCAGCATGCTGTTTCTAAGGCATATTTTCCAACATCTGTAAAACCATTGCCACATTTATAGAAAATATGAAATTAGTTATAAATAAAGTTATCCACATTTTGAATTTGAGAGGCTGTCCACATTTGTATTATAACTAGCATGTCTGAATGATAAGTAACACATAGGCATTCCCAACTTACAAAAAGGCTTTCTAAAAGCGTATTTGTTGATCAATTCCTTGGAAATTAGAACATATTTACCCATAGAAACAATTTTACAAATAATTGTTAGATCTCCAGGTCTACCCTCAAAATTCCTTCCCTGTGAAGACCTCGATCTATAGAAATATCCATTATAGCTTTTCTTCTCAGCTCTAGCAGCAGGAGCCAAGAAGCAGAATAAGAAAAAAGGAAATAGTTTTCTTATGCTTACTGTAGTAGAGCTTACATAGGTCACCGTTTGGGAATACTCACATCTACTGGCCTTTGCAGATATTAGGGCTCCCAAAACCATTCAGCTATTTGCCCGGCCCCTGTCTAACTTCCAGGGGTCCTGGCACTTGCTCACATTTCCTTCTCAAGTTTCATGCTAGACTAGTCTTGTTCTCAACCTTCCCCCACCTCTACATTGAACCATCGTTCTCCTGAAGATTCAAGGTGGTCTCAGCTAGTTGTGAAAAACAAAAGCAGTCAAAATAGACACTATTTTTAAATCAGGAGGGTCTGATCTTTTGCTTTCCTTGGGACACATTGGAAGAATTGTCTTGGGCCACGCATAAAATACACTAACAGTAAGAGTAGCTGATGAGCTTAAATAAATAAATCGATCACAAAAAGAACTCAACGTTTTAAGAAAGTTTACAAAGTAGTGTTGGACCACATTCAGAGCTGTCCTGAGCCACATGGGGCACATAGGCCATGGGGTTGAACAAGCTTGTAAATGATTAAGAATACTTTCTGAAGTTTTGGCATATTAAAAATATTTTATTTTTAACTCAAATAGCTGGAACTGAAATAAATTTCAAGACTATGAAATTTCCATTATCTTGACTAAAGAGCATATTCACAGGGTGAAAGTGTGAGGAAACTGCTCTGAGGGAATTCTAGAACTCAGCTCCAAGGAGTCAGTCAGAAGTCAGTTGATTTAATAGAAGTAAACTTTTCAAGTGTGTGCTCTGAATCTTGGACCTGTTGGTTTCTGTTGGAAGATGGATGGTGGTGGTTGATTGCAAACTGAGTCATCCCTTTGATTATTCATTTTCCAGATAATTCTAATGAAATCCATCTTACTAGTGCTGTAATTTTGCTTGTAAAACAATGTCATCTGGAAGAATATCATCTCATGAAGAAGATTACTGACGCAATAAGACAGACAAAACTTTGTTCTTATTTTCTAACAGAATAAACACCAAACAAAACCATTGTAATTTGGATGTTGTGAATTTTGCACAAAAAAGCAAAGAATTACTGTAACATATATGAGTCAATAATTTACTATATTATGTGCAATAAGTTAAAAGAGAAAAAGCATAAAAGTTGCTTTTGTTAAAATCAATATGACGAGTTATCTTCATTTTTATATAGCTATATTATGTAGAGATTCCGATTTAATCAAAATTTATAAGAAGATGATAAGAATTACTTCCAGAAAGTTAAAGAATATATATATTTAAAAATTAATTATTACAGGGATGGGTGTGAAAGCAAAGAGAATTTGATATTTCTGTTTTTCTGCAATGTAGTAACTGATTTTATCTGTAATGCTTTTCTGGAAAAACATTTATATTTTAAATGAATATGGTATACAATAAAATATGTAGTAAAAAAGTTCAAATTATTTTTTAATACCAGTGATCATTTAAGATACAAATTTCCTTAGGAGTGTATTTCAATTTTAATATTACTTGATAGTTCAAAATGAAGGCATATTTTTAACTAACATTCATTTTTCATCTCCTTAGGGTCCACTTTTATTTGTAACACTCACATAATTCCAGTGAAAAACCAAGAGGGTGTGGCTATGATGTTCATCATTAATTTTGAATACGTAACAGATGATGAAAATGCTACTTCTCCACAGAGGGTAAACCCAATCTTACCAGTCAAAACTGTAAACCGTAAGTAAAAGGCAATATGTACTAAATATTCTTGAAAATTCTGCTACTGTAGTCATTTTAATACAGTCTTTATTTCAATTCGGTCTCAAAATATCTTTAAATTTGAAGTAAAGTAATTTTACATGAGAAAGCATTAGCTCATGTTACCTTTTGGTACCTTCCAGAATTTATTGGCTGATCTGAAAGCCATTTAATTTGGATATCATATAATGTATTTAACCCCTGATGGACATTTAGGTTGTTTTCAAACTTTGGCTATTAAAATTATGCCAGAATAAATTCTAGTTATGTATTTTAATATGTGCATATGTGTATTATTGGGCAAATGTATCTTCAGGGTCCTGTAAGTGGGATTCCTGGGTCAAGGGTGATGCATGTATAATCTTTTCAAATACTGCCAAATTCTCCTCCACATGCTTTGAACCATTTTATGCTACCACCAACCATGAATTAGCCCTTTTCCCCAAAACTATGCCAACAGAGTGAATCAGAATCTGTTTTCTTGACTACTGTCATTACCATAAGTGAGAAGTAGTACCTCAATTAGTTTTAGTTTATGTTTATTCTATGAGTAAGGTTCATATATTTAAGTACAATAGAGATTTCTTTATCAACTGTCCATTTCTTATGTACATTTCAGTTGTTTAGTTTCTCTATCTCATCAATTTGGAAAGTAGACTGCAAATAACTTACCTAAAAAATAATGTGTTTTTTAACTTTTTCGTAAATTTTGTTATTTAAAGGGTTTTTTGGTAATGTGTCTAAATCTATAACTTGTTCCTTTGTTTTGTCTAAATTTCTGAGACATAATTAGAAAAGCTTTAACCATTCCAAGGTTCTAAATAAATCACTTCCTTTTCCTGGAACTTATATGATTTCATTTTTTAGGATCCTTGATCCATTGTAAGCTTATTTTTATGTATAGTATAGAGTGTACAGTTAATTTATCTTTTTTCCAATGGCTCACTCATTGTTCTAACATTATTTATTAAAAAGTCTATTTTTCATGAGTAATTTAATGCCACCTTTATCATAGACTAAACTTCCATATGTGCTTGAATCTATTTCTGGATTTTCTATTCTGTTCTGTTGGTTTATTTACCCCTCAGAATCATACGGTTCATATATACAATAAATAACTAATATTGCATGATCCCTTATTATTTGATACTAATTTTCAGAAGTTTGAGGTTTTTTTTTTTATTAATTTTCCATGTGATCTTTAGAAGCAACTTTTCTAGAGGTAGAAAAGATTCTTTAATATTTTTGTTGGATTCACATTAATTGTATAAGTTAACTTGAAGATAATTGATGTCTCTATAAAGTTTTAATTCTATTCAAGAATATAGTATGTATTTGTATTTTCTAAGTCTAATTTTTGTGTCTTTCAGGAATGTCTTAAAATTTTCCTCATTTGTTTACTTTGCTCCTTGGAATTTAACTTGTTGTTGCTGCTATTATAAATGAGACCCTTTTTCCCATTATATCTTCTTATAAAAGTAACTTTTCTTTCTGAATACATTAATTTTACATCCAACTACCTTAGTGAATTCTTAGTTTACAGTGACTTATATACTGACTTTTATGAATTTTTTAAGTATTCTATCACATAAAATAGAAATTGTTTTACATTTCCTTTTCAATTCTTGTATATATCATAGTTTTCTCTTGCCAAAATGTTCTGGGTATTATCTCCAAGGTATCATTAAAAAGAAATCATCAGTGAACATTATGCCTTAGCTCTGATTGTCATATGAATGCCTTTAATTCAAATGTTCCCCGTTAATTGAAATGATGACATGTGAGTTGAATTGTACGTGCTTTAAATTTTTAAGGAAGTTTCCACTGACTTAAGTTTTTAAGAATGGGTGCTGAAATTTGTAAAATGCCTTTTTTAGCCTCTGTGGAAATGAGTGTTATTATTTTCCTTATTTTTTAAATATACTTTATAAAGTTACTAATATGAACCATTCTTGCGTCCCTGGAAGAAGCCACATTTGAACATGACACACTTCATTTTGTAGTATGTTTTTGGATTCTCTTAACTCATATTCATTAGGTAGTTTGCATCAATACCAAATAGTGAGATTGACTTGTAATTTTTGCCTGTATGTGTGCAATTTTCTAAGGTGTTGGTATTAATATTATAATTCCTTCAAAAAATAATTGGGAGTTTCTTCTCCTTTTTGCATGCTGTTGAACCATTTAAATAGTTTGAGGATTATCTAGACTTTAAAAGTTAGGTGTGATTTCCCTGTGAATTCATCGAGGTACTTATTTGTGGTACCTGTTTGTGAAGTAGCTCCTTGACAAATTTGTTTTTCTTCTTTAATAATGGTCAGCTCAAATTATCAATCTTAACTAGTGTCAGTTTTGCTAGACATTATTTCCCTAGAAATTATTTCATGTAAATATTTAAATTTTGTTTTAATAGAATTATGCAAGTATGATTTTTTTTAAAAATCCTGTTTCTTTATATTTATTCAAATTTCTCATTTCTTTTACTATTGTTTAGTCCGTTTAAAATTGTTGATTAATCAATAGCTTTTTTTCTAAAGATCTACCTGTCTATTGGTTTATTAATTCTATTAGTTTTCAAACTCACAAAATTTTGCTTTTATATTTCTTAATTGACTTTTTATCAACTTACTTTGTGACCTCTTTTTTATTGCATTTATTTTCATCCTTTCAGTATTTTGGTATATGATTTTAAGGCTATATATTTTTATCTAAGCACTGTTTAAGCTATACCCTAAGAATTTAGAAATGTAATATTATTTTTCCTAGAAAATATGCAATTTTTTTCCTGTTTTTTTAACTTGAGTTGTTTAATATAGATAGCTTTCAGTTTTCCAGTAGGAAAGGAAAAGTATTTTCTTTTTTTTTTTTTTTTTTTTGAGACGGAGTTTAACTCTTGTTATCCAGGCTGGAGTGCAATGGCGCGATCTCAGCTCACCGCAACCTCCGCCTCCTGGATTCAGGCAATTCTCCTGCCTCAGCCTTCCAAGTAGCTGGGATTACAGGCACGCGCCACCATGCCCAGCTAATTTTTTGTATCTTTAGTAGAGACGGGGTTTCACCATGTTGACCAGGATGGTCTCGGTCTCTTGACCTCGTGATCCACCCGCCTCGGCCTCCCAAAGTGCTGGGATTACAGGCTTGAGCCACCGCGCCCGGCCAGAAAAGTATTTTTAAAGTATTATTTTTTTGTTTAAAAAAACTTCTGGTTTTATTGTCTTTTAGTCATAAAATGCTATTTGTATTATTTCTCCTTTTGTAATTGTCTAAGATTTTCTCATAGTTTATTATTTGATCAATTTTCTTGAGTATGTCATGTGAATATGAAAAGAAAGTGATATTACAGAGTATCAGGGTACAAAGGTTGATATCTGCTTTTTAAAACTCTACCTTACTATTATGCTGTCTTCTATATCCTTACTTATTTCCTGTCCTCCAGATATGTCTTGGATTTAAGAAAGTGTATTAAAGTCTTCTACTGTTAGGATATTTCTTGGTATTTCTCATTCTATCTCTTACAATGTCTGTTTTATGAGTATTGCTGCTCTTGTTTATTTCATAGTCACATTTCATAGTCACATATTTTTTATTCGTATAAATTAGCGTTCAGCATTACAAAGGATCTTCTTTTTTGTTTACTAATTTTCCATCTAAATTCTACTGTATCTTAAATCATGACACTTGAGACTTTTTTCCATTTTCTTGCTGTATTTTAAAGTTATCTTTTTGTCATTTGTCTTTGTTTCAGTTGTGTCTTTTTTATACAGTGTGCGGTTTTTATATAGTGTGCTTTTCTTTATTGCTTATAAGAAAATAATACCTCTACTTCAATTGATTATAACTACAGTAGATATTTACATTTATCAATGCAATCCATGTGTTTGTTTTCTTGGTACTAACATATTCTATGTTAAATACACTCTCTTAAAATATTTCATTATGTATCTCTTTTTTTTTGCCCTTTTAAAAACTGTTTTTTTGTTGCTTGATTCTGTTTTGTTTTTGTTTTTTTTTTTTGGTGCTTGGGAAAATTTATATCATTTTCCAATTCCAATAGTTATCTTTATAAGAAAATGTTATATGCTGTCCTCAACCATTGCCTTTTTTTTGTCAGGCAATATATATTGGTTCCTTACTTTGAGCAAAAATAAAATTATGGCAAAAACCGCAATTACTTTTGCACCAAACTAATAGCTTATAATCCTTTGCCTCTTCTTCCCATCATTCAGTTTTCATCAACAATATTCTATTTCTTAAGGCTTATCTTTTTGCTCCTGAGTATCCTAGTCTCCCACCATTCAGTGTGTAGGTTTAAATAGCATCACTTGACTCTCATCTATTACCAGAAAGGCACTCAGTGAGCTTATCTATTTTCTTCTCCTCTCCCTCCCATTTTGTTGGGATATGGTATTTCCAGCTTATCAAGTAGGTAATGTGTATATACTTTTTGCTTGTCTTTTGGTCTCACATTTCTAGCAAAATATATTTATGTCTATCTTTTTGTCAGAGATTCCCAAACACTACTTCTTAGATGAAGTATTCCCCTATGGAAAAGGTTTCTGGGTAAAGTATTTTCAGAGTTCTCTCGTGTCTAACATGTTTTTATATCACTTTGACATTTGAAGGACAGCCTAGGCAGATGTGACATAGTATTTGGTCCATATTCTATGCCTTGTGAATCTGGTAGACATTGTTTCATTCTTTTTTTTTTTTACATCAACTGTTGCTGATGACTAGTCTGATGCAAACCTGCTAGACTGTCCATTGTAAGTGAGTTTGGTATCTGGGGTCTTGTGTACTTTTTAAGCCCTTCTATTTTCTCTCCAGAAACTGGTGCTCATGTTACAGACCTGCTCTTGAGATTTCATACTCAGTGTGAGGCCCTCTTCTGCTGAAGGGGAACTCTGTTTAATAAGTTTTTCATCACTCCAGGGAGACCTCTGTACTCCTCTTTTCTTCATTTAGTTTCTACTTGACTCTCT